TCGCCGTCAACATCAACATCAACACAACCACCATCATCACCATCAACACTATGAGCACCGTTAACACCATCAACACCATCCCGTCAACATCGTCACCACCACCACCACCATCGTCGCCACCACACCCACCATCATCAACACCACTGGCATCACTAGCCTCATCGTCACCATCATCGTCAGCAGCAGCAACACCACCACCATCAGCATCACCATCATCACCACCATAAACATCACAATCAACACCATCATCACACTCACAAGCATTATCGTCATAAGCATAACCACCACCATCATCGCCGACCCAATATGCCTCGTCGTCATCATTAGCATCACCACCATCCTCATCATCATCATCATCATCATCATCATCATCATCATCTTCATCATCATCATCAGCATCAGCATCAGCATCATCATCATCATCATCATCATCCCCATGCTGACCATCACCGTCCAGCATCATCATCATCATGATCATCATCATCATCATCATCATCATCATCATCATCATCAGCATCAGCATCAGCATCATCATCATCATCATCATCATCATCATCATCATCATCATCATCATCATCATCATCATCATCATCATCTTCGCCGACCTAGCCCTCGCCGCCGCCGCCGTCATCACCATCACCATCGAGAAAAAAGGACAGGCAGAAGGACGTGGGCTTTGGCCAATTCGACTAGCATGATGGCATCCGAAGGCCCTCGAGGAAGGAGGGGAGGGAACGGGAGGAGGCAAGGCAAGGGAGGGACAGGAAAAGGAAGAGGAGGAGGAGGAGGACGAGTAGGAGGAAGAAGAACGGAAATAGGAGGAGGAAGTAGAGGAGCTGTATGGCAAAGCTCGACCTTCACAATGCTGGTCATGTTCGTGTTGGTATGGTTGTCCCTCCTTCTGTCTTCGCTTTGCCCTTGCCGCAACACAGAACCAACGCGAAAACGATCCCGGGCATTGACAAACCACCGTGGGGAGAGGGTGAGGAAAAGCGGGCAGAATGAGGGCGGAATAGAAGGGGACGGCAAGGAGGGGGAGCCGGGCGAGGAGGAAACGGCGTAGGACCGTGAACTCGGTTCTCCCGCCCTTATGGGCCACGATTCTGCGCTTGTCGTTGTGTCTGTCTTTTCCTGCCCTCGTCCGCAGCTCAAGTCGTCATTTGTTTGCTGCACCACTTGAGCACGTAACCGGTTGACCCCAATGTCCGAGCACCGGCGAAATCGTAGGATCGTGGAAAAAACGGAGGAAGAGGAACAGAGGACTTGAGGGGGCCACACTTCGTGCGAGCGACCCCCTCGCAGGACCACCTGCTTTCTCCTCCTCCTCCTCCTCACTCCCACTCCTCCCTTTGAGACTCATCCTCTTCCTCTTCCGCCTCCTCCCCATCATGTCCTGTTCCCGCCCACTCTTCCTCCTCCCCCTCCAACTCCTCCTCCTCCCAATGTCAACACGACAAAACATGTAGCACCTGAAAAGTGGCTGCAACAACACCAACAACACCAACCACACTATAAAACACCTGGTGGCAATCCCGATCCTTCCTCCGTTTCTCCTCCTGTATTCCCCCCCACCCACATACATATATATATATATATATATATATATACTCTCCAATCAGAGTTTGCCTCTGTAACGGGTCCTAGAGGATTCATATGGTTAGGTTCGGTTTGCCGCCGATTTTCGCCGCACGCCCGGGTGCCCGGATGCCCGGGGGTGCCCGGGTGCCCGGGCGTGCCCGGGAGGTGCCCTGTAGCCCTTTAGCCCATATGGCCATATAGCCCAATGGCCCATATAGCGCCCACGAGCCCATATAGCCCTATAACCCTACAGGCCTAAATAAATTATGATTGGGGCTTTTCTCCGGTATTATACATATAAATATAAATGTACACACCTTTTTTATATATATATATATATATAAATATAGATATGTGTATATAAATGTGTGTATATATAGGTATATATATGTATATATATATATACATATATATATATATATATATATATGTATATCGGATCGGGCCCCTAGGAGGCAGCAGTTCACGAGTCTCAAACGCAACCTGCCTCCAGGATCGGGCTATACCCCAAAATAAACCGCAATGTCACGCACTGACGGAAATCGAACGGCAGGTCTTAACGCCTGCTCGATCCTACAAGTTTACCCATGGCTCCCATCAATCGTGAGTCGATACCTCGGCTTCGCCTGGCATGAGCGGGGAAGAACGAGCCTTGGGAAGAATGCGGCTGGCGCTGAAACGTGGGCGGAGGCATCGATGACCTCCGTGGCCGCTTCGGGGGAGGAGGGGGCTTGCGAGGGCCAGGAAGAGAGCTGGGGCCTTGAGGCTCAGGGGGGCGAAGCAAACAACGCACAAGGCTCTCAGGAGGGCGCGGCTTTTCAGCCTGGGCCAGGGCGCGGGCATGTGCGATCAGCGAAGCCGCCCACTCTTCAGCACGCGCACTCGAACGAACATGAGATACATGTGCCTGCGAGGATGCGAAAGAACTGGCCATGCTCCGACCAACTGCTGTAGACTTGCTCATACTCTGCGATGATTGCCTTGGGAGTTTATTGTCCAGAACAGTTGGCGTAGAAGTATGCGCACTCGTTGATGCAAATAGTGGCCTCTCCGTGCCTTGCACAACTGGCGTAGATGCAGCGCCCTCAGTGATGCACATGTTGGGCGACCGATGCCCCGAACAACAGACGTGGGCGCGCACTGTGCTTCACATGGTGGGCTACCACTGCCCTGAACAAATGTAGACGTAGGCGCACTCGATGATGCTCTTAATGGGCTTCCATTGCCCTGAACAGCTGGCGTATAATTGGGCGCACTCGTTGGCGCTGGCGCAGGGCTCCCATCGCCCTTTGCATCGGGTTTTACACTATGCCGCGTCCGGTGGAAGGCGAAATCATCAACCTGATGGTCGCATCCTCCATCGTTGCCATCTCTTTTAGAATGATCCCCTCCATGTGTACCGTCGTCCCCCGGCTTGTCTCGTTCGCCTCCGTCAGCGTGAGGCACTCGCTGATCGCGCTGAAGCCGACGCCGCACAGGTGGTTGAGACTGATATGGTTATTGCACTGCTTCTGGTCGGGGGTGTCGCTCGCCTTCGCTAGATGGACGTGCTCGGTGATATGTTTGGGCTCCATCGGCTTCATATTGTTGCCCTGTTCGGTCAGATTCTGCCGGCGAAGGCCTTCGACGGCAACGCCTTCCCGGCGGGGGTCTTCAAGCCGCGAACGCCGCGGAGCTAAGCGCATTGATCTGCGCCTTCTCCGTGTCGAACTGCGACTCCGGGGTCGCGTCGCGCATCTCATCTGTTTTTCCCCCCGCGCGAGCTCGGGCTCGGATCGAGGCGACGCTTTTGGCGTCGAGAGGGGCGAGGTATGTCTTGAATCGAGGCCTCTTCGGTCTGCCGTTGTCTCGGCGGCGCGTTGAGTGGCCGCGTCTTCATTATGTAAGGCATGCGCTGTATTTCTTTCGTCTCCATCTCCTTGAGCTGCGGCTCGACAAGGTCTGAAATCTTGGATTTCAACCCCGTCGGTTGGTCTCCATGCCTTCCTGCTTGGCTGCGGCGGCGTCGCTGCGCAGGTGGCGCCACTTCTGCCGCGCCTGCGTCTGCGGGCCCTGCAGCTCCGAGCACTAAGTCCATTAACGACATGGGGGCGAGATGCGGGGGGGGCGATCAGCAACGGCACGGGCTTGTAGCTCGCGTGCACCGGGCGGGGGGAGCTCGCAGTCGTCGCTTGGCAAAAACAGCTGCAACGGGTCGTTCGCTTCGAAGTGGCAAACCGAGCAATGTTTTTGGCGTCGCCCAGCACGATTGGCAACGGCAAGACGGTTGATCGCATTTTGCTGGCTCGCGAATGCCGATCGGCATGTCGGACGCTGGCGAATTACCGTTAACCGCGCGTAGTCGCAGATCCCCCCGCGCTCGCCCCCCCCCCCACCCGCGCGTGGTTTGATGTGTTCGGGGTGCTTGTTCCTTCTTTTTTTTCCTGCGAACGAACATATCGCGCCACTAGCGCGCAGTAAGACGCGCGCGTGTGGGCTGTTCCAGCGGGTCGTTGCTTCTGAAAATATGCGAAGTGGGGCGGGCTGTCCCAGCCGCCACTTCCACGCGCGCGCTATCGCGAGCTGGATTAAACCATCTCGGCCCAGCGTCGGCCGAAAGACATCGAACGAACCATCTCCAATTACATCGAGGCATGCACGTCCATCAGCGAGCACCCTGAGCTATTTCTTGTCCTCAAAATTGCAGGCGCCATGGGCTGTTCAGGCGTGCAGGCCCTCTCTTAGAAGAGCTCACGTGGGCCCAATGTTATGCCAGAGTACGTGCGGTCTCGCATCGTAGCCTGCCAAACACACAGGCGGGTATTTGAGCGCGGTTGTCAGGTCTGCGAGCTGCCCGTTGCCATCTCTGGACACGCGTAATCTGGGCGCCCAGAGAAGGCGGGGCCACCGAAGAAATATTACGCACAACTTCCCTCGTTCGTTCCATCTGGGTCACCGTTGTCGGCGGACTGTCTGACGTAGGCTGCACCTTGCAGTAACGCCCGCGCGCGTCGCGCCACGCGGGCGTCTATTGGGTCATTCTACGCTCTGGCAAGAACGCGCGCTTCGAGACCTGAGGTAGCTGCAGAATAGCAATTGACCTCTGAACGCCGCGTTTTTTTTTCCGAGACTGATATCTGCAATTGTTCCAGAACCGCCCCGCGCTCCTCTATCCCCTCACCGCGGCCGCGCAGCGTGCTTTCACTGCGACGCGGGTGAGGCCGTTCGCCTGCGCGATGGATCCAAGAAGCGCAGTCGATGAATGAACTTCGCCGTCAACGTGCACTTTGCCATAGTGTAGGGATCGCGCACAACGATGGGCACCAGTGCCGACGAACGTGGGGGGAGCAGCTTCTTGTTTCCCCGGCGTTCTGTTGGAACCCAATCGCATGTGGCTTCCCATTAAGGATTGCGTCGGAGCGTTGGACCCCATGCGCCGCCACCTGCGCGACGTGACAAAGGCGGGAAATAGTGATGTCGTCGGCGTACTTCCGAATGCTGAGGTCGACGCTGGCGCCCGTAAACCCACGCCCCGCAATCGTAGATGCGTGCGTGTCCGTTGCGGGCGCAGCATTGAATTCGATGGCGCGCGGGGGGGGCGGGTGGGTGGGGAGCGCGAACGCTACGAGGAACTTAATAGCGGTATCAGCGTCTCCCATGAAGCACCCCGCGTTGTTCTTGTAGCCCTGATGCCGTCGCTGATGGCGCATGCTGCTCGACGGTGCCGTCCTTTCATGATGTTGCAGTCGCCAAGAAGGTAGATCTAGTCCACTGCCCTGCCCAGGTATGTACGACCCACGGGGGCGAACGCGTTCGTCGCGTCGCGTTTCGTGGCGACGCGGCCCTGGCAGAGCTGTGCAAGGCGACGCTGTAGGTAGTGCAAGACCGACAAAGATAGCCGCCGAACGATCGCGCTCTGGCATCGCCGTCTCCCCAGTCATCCAGCGGTGCCGCGGCAAGCGTTTGTCTTGCAACCACCCCCGGTTTTTTTTTCCCCCGAGCGCGCGTAGTCCGTGGAGTAGACGCGCACCTCGATCGTGTGGCTTGTTATTCATCTTGCTGACCTGATACGTCCGAAAAAGACCCCACCACGCGTCGAGACGTTGGCGTTGCGGACTGCTGCGAGCTGGGTGGACATGGCATCTCTGAGCGTGGGGCCTGGAAAGATCATCGCGCTGTCGAACTCGGCGCTGCCGTTTTTTTTTCGCGCCTTCACATCGGCCCGCTAGCAATCTGGTCCATATGCCGGCAGGTAGAGACCATTCGGGGGCTGCGCGTCGCCGTTTGCAATGTTTTCGCAGCCGTCGCTGCATTGGCGCAATATCATACTTGGCATGCCGCCGCTGATATGAAGTCGGGCAGAAGCGTTCGTCGTGTTCAGCAGCCGCATCGGTAAAATTGTGAGTGTCCACAGGAGTAGCCTCCGTGCCCCCCTCAGCTCCAGGTCATGCCGCGTCTGCTGTCCACATTGCAACCGCAGGCGTGGCGTCGGGAAGGTCGACGTAGCACTTCTTGCCTGGGCATTTCTCTTTGCCAGCAAGACGACGGCACGCGCGCCACACTTCAACTGCAAATCCTGCTCCGCCCGCTTGCTGTAGTTCGTGAAAGCACGGTTTATCACGAAGTTCGCGTAGCAGCCGTCATATGTTTTGCATGCTGTGCTGCAGCGTCTGAAGACCATGGCACTCTCGAGGTCGTCAGCGAGGCTTTGCCGAGCCATCGCGCGGGTGCGCAGCGCGCTCAGGCGTTCTCGCGCAAGCTTCTGATACTCAAGGTCAACCGTGGATTTCTTCGCCTCGAAAAACTCGGAGGCTCGCGTTCGTATCTGGGCAACGAGTTGCTGCCAGCCTCTGAGTCCATCGTGCGCCTTTCTGCCCAGTCCGCCGCATCTCGGCATCAACTCACGAGTAGATAGTTGGTCTGGTCCATCTCAATATAGTCGCGGAGCTGCTTCGCCCAGTCAAAACAGCGTTCATCGTGTCATGCAAGGAGCATGCGAGTATAGTCCCACTGTGGGGAAGTCTTGGGCTTGTCGCATGTGAGGGTGCATTCCACGTATATAGTTAGCATCATATGATCCATGCGGCACTGCGATGCAAAAGCTCGAAGTCGCTTGGCCCGGCAGTTGGCGATTTGCGTCGCCTCACTCTGGGTAAGCAGCTTGTCTGCATCACAAGGTAGTCGGTGTCGCATGTGTGCCCCGTAATTCCGTGATGTGCTGGTCCGCACGGATGATGAGCCTTCGTGGCACACAGAGCGTAGTTTTTCATAAGCATACGGAATGCCTCTCCTGCGTAATGCTGTTGGCCGTATGCGTGCACACCTACTGTAGCGCCGTCTTCCCCGTGGTTGTCGATATTGTGAAGTCAATCGCCCAAGTCCGTGACGATGAACTCGCTTTTTCGATTCGGAAAGTTCGGGCATATGTCGTGCAGATCGGCGATTATATAGTTGGTAATGACCCCGTCCTTGGACGCTGTGCTGATGCGCTGCGGCATCGGCGGGAAGTATGCAGTGATGAATGTGTAGTCGAACTGGGAGCTTTGAACACGTGCTGCGCCGACACGCCCTCGGAGCGAGTGCGGTAGCTGCCATCTCTTCACACCCTGCGCTGTTCGAAACCATCTTCGGCTCAGCCAGATCTCCGTGGCGCAGGGGTGGTTGCCTGTGGTGTTCTTGTTCGTACGGTGCCACCCTAACTGCAGCATAATGAACTCGGTGGTGCAGTGGGCCCCGGAAGCCTCGGAGGTCTTGGTCTGCGTGCCAGGGAAGGGGACTGCGCCGACGTGATCCATCTCTCGAGATACCCCCAGGCGCTTGTTCTAGTCTTGCTAAGACATAGGGCTCCATGCAATGAAACGCATGCTGGCCGTCAGTGTGTGACAGAAAAACCGGATCTTTGGGACGGTGGGCATATCGTCCACGCTCTGGAAATCTCGGAATGCTCGAGCCAGAGCTATATATATATATACATGTATATATGTATATACCTATACGACCACCCTTTTTCGGGTGATAAGGAGGTTCCAGGGGGTGGGAAACCAACATCTCACTCGATCGATATCACTACCAATCTTACGGTCCATCTCACTATCGGTCTCGCTCGCTCGATCTCCCCCGATCAATCTCACAATCGATAGCATTCGATCTATTTCATCCGATCCATCTCACAATGGGTATGACTATCGACCTCACAATCAATCTCACTATCGATCTCACCATCGATCGCACAATCTATCTCGCATCCGGTCCCACGATCGATATCACGATCGACATCGCAATCGATATCACAATCAACCTTGTCATCATCATCGACATCACCGTCATCAACGTCATCAACATCCTCATCATCATCATCGGGACACAATCGTCATCACCATCACCATCAGCATCATCATCATCAAAATCATCATCTTCGGGACACCATCATCCTCACCCTCACCATCATCGGGACACCATCCCCATCATCAAAACACCACCATCATCATCTGCATCATCACCATCTCATCATCATCATCATCATCATGAACAACATCGCCAACATCATCAGCATCGGGACACCATCGCCATCATCAACAAAATCATCATCATCAACATCATCATTGGGCCACAATCATCTTCGTTATCATCATCAATTTCATCGTCATCATCATTAGGGCACCATCACCATCATAAAAATCAGCATCATCATAGGGCCACCATCATCAAAATCATGATCACCTCATCATCATCCTCATCATCAACAACATCACCATCATCATCGAACACCATCGTCATCATCGGCATCATCAACATCATCATCATCATCGGGACACCATCCTCATCATCACCATCATCATCAACAGCATCATCATCAACCTCATCATCATCGGCATCAGCATCATCGGGACACCATCATCATGATTTTCATCATCTCGTCATGCCATCATCAACATCATCAGGATCATCATCATCATCATCGGGACACCATCATCATCATCATCATCATCAGCAACGTCATCATCATCAACATCATTCTGATCTGGGTACCATCATCATCACCACCATGGCCATCATCATCATCATCACCAGCATCACCATCATCGGGACACTATCATCGTCACCATCATCATCAAAATCTTCATCATCATCATCATCATCATCATCGGGGCACCATCATCATAATCATCATCATCGGAACACCGCCATCATCATCATCGCATCGCCATCATCACCCTCATCATCAACACCATCATCATCATCGGGACACCAGCATCATCATGAGCAACATCACCATCAACATCATCATCATTGCGACACCATCATCATCGTCACCATCATCATCATCATCATCATGATCATTGGGACACCGTCATCCTTATCAACATCAGCATCAGCATCATCATCGGGCCACCACCATCAAAATCATCATCATCACCTCATCATCACCCTCATCATCAACACCATCATCATCATCGGAACACCATCATCGTCATCATTACCATCATCATCAACACCCTCATCATCGGTGCACCATCATCGTCAGCACCATCATCATCATCAACATCATCATCATCCACCTCATCATCATCACCATTATCAGCATCATCGGGACACACTCATCATCATCTTCATCATCATTATCTCATCATCATCAATATCAACAGGATCATCAACATCATCGTCATCATCATCGGGACCCCATCATCATCAGCAACATCAGCATCATCAACATCATCATCGGGACACCATCATCATCACCACCATGGCCATCATCATCATCAACATCGTCATCATCATCATCATCATCATCATCATCATCATCATCATCATCATCATCATCATATTCATCATCATCACCATCGGGACACCGACAGGACACCGGCGGGACACCGGCGGGACACCGCGGGGCACCGGCTGCCGGAACGGAGACTTATGGTCCTGCCGCGCCTCAGCCAGAGGCGGGACATGTCTCGCCCGCCCACGCAGCTTCGCCTCGCCCGCACGCACGGCACGCACGAACACGAAACCGATTTCCCGGTAGGGGGGCTCTCCGTTCCACTGCGATCTCACCCTCTCACCTCCGATATACATATATGTACCTCCTCCTTGCTATTATCGTCATCCTCCTTGTCCTCGTCCTCCTCCTCCTCATTCCCCTCACCCTCCCCCTTTTCTTCCCTCATCACCCTATGGTTCCTATCCCTCTTTCCTCCCTTTTCCTCAGCCTCCTCCCCGCCTCCTCCTGCTCCTGCTCGTCCTATGCATCTGCCTCATCCTCAGCATTTTGCTCCTCCCCCTCCTGCTCGCTGAACCCCTTCCCGGGAACTGGCTTTTCGTCCCGAGCTGGTCTTTGAACGTCCGGGGGGCGCACCGAGGGCGCGTCCCGAGGGGTTGAATATAAAAAGACACGCGAAGAACACTCACGCAAAAAAACAATCGCCAATGTAATACAAGAAGACACAACAAATCAACAACAAAACAACATAATGTAAAACAAACGCGCGCCAAAAAGAAACTATAAAAACACACACGCAAAGACGCAAACAAGACACGCAATACAAAAAACACGAAAACATGAACCAGGCGCGACCAAACTTAGGGGGAAAGCTTCCTATTGCACGGGCGCAGCGCTGGGCATTGCTTGGCACTGCTGGGCATTACTGGGCATTGCTGGGCATTGCTTGGCATTGCTGGGCATTGCAGG